AAAAGATTATCTTAATTAAATAGAATTACCTTCAATCAAATTTAAAAAAAGATTGTTGGAACTTACTCTGAAGTCAATTTTACTCTTTATTATTGTTCAATTTTTTGAGTCATCCAAACGCTTCTATAATGATCAGGAATAACAGATAACTTTGCTCAATATAGAGTTCTAAAAAAGGAGAAGATAATAAGTTTCCAATTATTGTGATATCAATTAACAAAATTAATAAATCAGTAAACATTAATTAATTACCAGGAAGGTGAAATTAAAATAAGGATATTCAGAAAACAGTATTGTTATGATATGAATATTTAGTTCTTATTTTATTGGTTAATTCATATTTAATTGGATGATATTTTATTATATTTTATTGGTTAATTTTATATTTATATTTTTATTGGATAATTATATATTAGATATTATTGGTTTTTAGATTTGTTTATTGATCTATATAATTAATTTGATTGATATTAATAATGTAATTTATGTAACATTAAAGCGAGTGAGCGAGTGAGCGATGTGTAACCAAAAAGCAAAGTACTTTTTGTAATCTTAATATCAATCAAAAATAGCTTTAATATTTGAAAAATTGAGTAACAATAACTTATATAAATATAGCTTGTATCTTAGCATAGCATAGCTTAGCTTAGCTTAGCTTAGCTCTCAAGTTCAATAGCTCTCAGGACCTCAAGAATAATAAATAATAATTAAAAACATGTAATAAATTCACCTAATAATAAAATTATACTTTATTATTATTGAATTATGATCTTATAATGAAATTATATATTTATTACATAAAATTCTTAATTAAACATTATTATTAAAAATCCCAGATCTCATTCTAGCTGATCACATCATGAACATACTGTTACCTTCCTTTAGATTCATTTATAATTATAGTTTAATGCTTGATACATTATATAGATTTTATTATATTATATATACTTTCCCACCCATCATTCTTAATAAACTTTACTATAATTACTTTAATCAAGTAACTTATTATAACGTTATTAAGCACTTACCAGCTCTCTCAAGGACTCATATAATATGATAACAATAGTCAAACTGAAGAAAGTTAATACTTGATTATATCGATCTTTAAAGATATCACACATATTAATATAGTTGTTGTTTATTTTAATGTGAATCAGTACTAGTTTTAGCATGATTCAACTAACTGAATCATATGTGCATTTCATGTTCTAAAAAGTGCACCAGATTTTTTTTTGTATTCTCTAATATCTTCTAGCAAACAATTAATAATGTATAGTGATGTTGCAATTAAAGATGATATAATAACTGTTGCAATGTGGTGACAAATAAAGCATTACCTAGTTGTAACTAGTTACAGCTTATAAAATTTTGGAATTGCAACGTGTTGCAATGGATAACAAATAAGCGTCATATACTTGCTGCACCATCTCTAGTTGCAATTAAAAATGAAAAAATTATTATTGTATAATAAATATATTTCATTTTAAGTAGATATTTGAAATTCTTTGGATGAGAATATAATTCTTTTTGGATTATTTCTAATAAAATTATTGATTATATAAGATTAAGACTAGGATTCCAAAAAAAATCTGATTCAGTTCAAGTCTGATTCAGTTCGAATCTGATTTAGTTCAAGTCTGGTTCAGTTTGAGCTTGAATTAAACTCAAACCTGATGAAAAATCCAGTTCGAAAATTTGAATCTAATTAAAAGTTTGATTCGAGTTCAGTTTGAATTTCAAACCAAACTTGAACCTAATCAAAAAATTTGGTTCAAGTTCAAGTAATTATTAGTTAATATTCTAAGTAAAGTTGTAAATCGTAATATGAACTACAAATTAATATAAGTTAGTTAATATTTAGAATAAATATTTAAGAAGTTATATGAATTTAAAAAATAATTTTAATTATTATAATTTTAATTTACTTTAGTTTTAATATAATAAATATTTATTTTGCTATAGTAATTATAAACTATAATTATAAGTAAAATTATAGTCAGAAATAAGAGTTACAAATTGATATAAAATAGTTATCATTAATAATAATTATTCAGAAAGTTATATAGTATTTATAATCAAATTTAATAAACGTAAAAATAAAAATACTTTGTAGTTTATATTTAGAACTACAAATCAGCATATAATACTATATATTAATCTTTAATCAAATTCAAATCAGACTCAAACTCATATAATGATTCAGTTCAAGTTCAGTTTAAACTTCGAACCTTTCTTGAACTCAAGTCAAAGTTCAGTTCAAGTTTGATTTGAATTTTGAACTGAACTCAAATCCAGATAAAAGTCTGATTCAGTTCAGTTCATAAAAATACTAATCAAGACTATCTTTCCAGTCACTTAATTTAGGAATGAGAACTAGATTGATATTTTTTCATTGTTGTGGAATATTGTTTTATATTAGATATTTGTTGTAGAGATTTAGAAAAAATGTTTTGAATTTGTGGCTGCTTTTTTATAATAAGATATTTTGTATTTCTGAGAGTTCTAGTGTCTTGTAAGATAACATATTTTGAATTATTGTATTAAATTCTTGTTCAATAATGAAATCTATTATACTATAAAAAGTTTGGTTATTAATATATTCACGTAATATATATTGTTACTTCCAAAAGTTGTTTGATCAGATTGAAATAGAGCATTTTTGGTTCATTTTTCAAAGTGATCTTGTATTGCTTCTTGTATATCAAGTAAATTATTGATGAAATTGATTGGTATTTGTACTTTATTAATTTCTATGTATTGATTTTCTTTTCTAAAATATTGTTAAGCATTTTAGATCTGCTTTTTGTTAATTGATTATTATGACTTCTTTAATTTGAATTATCTTTCTTTTTTTCTTTAATAATTCTGTATTTGCTATATAGTTCTTTGAATTTTTGTTGCCATTCATAAATATTATTATAATTAAGTAATATAAGTAAACTAATATTTGATTCTTTGTTCAATTAGTTAAGTTTTTTAATGAGATCAGTGATTTTTTATGTATATTTATATCTTTAGAGTTAAGAATAAAGATGAGTTTTCCTGAAAGTTTGTATAGAATACTTGATATTGAATATTGTATTTTTGTTGTTACTGTTTAATTTTGTGATGAATTTTGTCTTAAGAGTATTGGTGACTGCATTATTTATAATATTGTTTAAGAATTATTAGTATTGATCTAGAGAGGAATTGTTGTTAGTCTTATTAAATTGTAAATTAATAATAATTGCTTGTTTGAAGCTTTTTTATATTTCTTTAATAAGATTTTTAGTGATAAATACTTTGTGTTTATGTTTTCATCTCCAGATAATACTTTTTGATGTTTTGTTAATTAGATTATTTAATATAAATATAGAGATAATAGCTTAACAATCAGTATCAATTCAAATTAGATCTTCAATTATTACATAACTTAGAAAATCCCTGTAAAAAAAAAATAAAAAACAAAAATCAGGAAAAAATCCAGTTTTTTAGTTCCGGAAAATTACAGGTTTTGTTAACAAATTTCTGGATTAAAAAACTGCTTAAAAATGAAAAAAACGGGGAAAATAAAAAAAATATCCTGAAACTTTGGGACGCGATATCTCGCGAACCACGAAACCAATCTGGATGAAAATACCACCATTCGATTTGTCTAGTCTTGGCGAATCGAATGGTGGTATTTTCGTCCAGATTGGTTTCGTGGTTCGCAAGATATCGCATCCCAAAGTTTCTGGATATTTTTTTTATTTTCTCCGTTTTTTTCATTTTTAAGCAGTTTTTTATCAGATTTTAATCTGGAAATTTGTTAACAAAACCCATGATTTTCCGGAACTAAAAAACTGGATTTTTTCCTGATTTTAGTTTTTTATTTTTTTTTACAGGGCCAATATTTACTTATTCGTTCACTTGTTCATTTATTTGTTTATTTATTTGCTCACTTGTTCATTTGTTCATTCCACATGATTAGATTCTTCCAATAAGATATAAGATATTTATAATTCAATAATATTAAGTATGAATGATTCAGTAAAATATTTGATCAAAGTTCATTATACAACAGAACTCTTACTGTTGAGATTTTGCTCTGTAAAATTAAAATATTTAAATATCTTTTCTTTTAATTGATCACTAGACTTTTGGCTTATTTTTCAATTGTTCCTGAAGTTAGATATTTGTCTATTCTATATATTTTTGTGATCTTTGAAATATTAATAAAATCATAAGGTCAATATATGTTTTGAAGTAGCATCTATGATGCTGATTTTATTTTTAAACAATCATCTAAATTCAAAGATTTGACAAAACATGCATTTACTAATTTCCCCTCCCCCTGATTGATTGAGGATATTAAAGGTTAATTTTAGCGTTGGATTAGGGTTAGGGTTAGAGTCGAGGATAAGGTTATATGTAAAATTGCCTTTCTGACATCTTTTATTAGTGCTTCAAGCCAGATTTAAGCATTCGTTTTCCGTATATTTCATTTTTAATTTTCTTGTGACGGATTTGTTTTGCCGGTCTGGTCTAGAAAACCTGGTGTGCAGTCAACCAATCAGCGATGGAAATTACTTGCATCCAATCAGAAACCTGGGGGAATTAGTAAATGCGTGATTTCGTGCTTTCGATATGCTGTGCTTTTGGTATTTCGTTTGTCGGGTTTATGGCTTGTCGGGATTATGGTTTTCGGGATGTCGTACCAGATCCAATTCTCTTTTTGACCCTAAACCAAAAACATCTAGTGAAAAAAGCAATAATACAACTTATAACAGAATACGAGATTATAAGGCAACAAATCACACTAATGCGTTAAATATTATCGTATCATCATTCAATATTGCTTTCAATGCATCTTTTGAAAGCACAAGTATCCGATAGAATTTGGTGCAAATTCTTGATTGTGGTGATTGGACATATCGATATCAGTAACGGTAACATTCGTTCCATGTGGATAATCAAATTATGTACGCAAAATAGATTTATTAATGCGCACAATAAATTTAGATCCAGATATGATTATTCAGTTATCTATTATAAAACACCAAGGCCTCGTGACTGGCGCTAACAAAACCCAAATTCATAACAGGTCTCGGCCTGACACCACTCTCTGTCGTAACGCGATACCTTTCCAAAACTTCGCTCACCACAACTTTCATTAAGTCGACTGCAAAAAATCGACCAGGACACGCATGACGACCAAGTCCGAAATGGTAAATATCGCGTGAGATCTTTGTCGCCAAACTGTTTTTGCCGACATACCTAAATCCTGTAAATGCAAGTGAAGTACCATGGAGATCCTCGTCGAGACGTATGCTTTTTGCGTAGATTTGTACTTGGCGGCCTTGGTATCATGTTATAGGTTATTATAAATTAATAAATGATTTTGCTTGAAGAATAAATTTTCTGTTCACCTTTTGGTATTTGGTATCCATTGGAAAAAGTAAACTGATCTACGACGACTTTACGAGGCAACAACACTAATAACAGAAAAATTAAATCATATTCTAGTCGAAATTCAAAATAATTGATGTTCACTCACAAAGATGTCCTTTCTGTCGCATCGATTCTCTGATAAAACTATCCAATTTTTCCATTTTTGCGAGCATGTTGGGTTCGAAAACCGGAAAATCATCAATATCATTGTTGTTTGGGGATTTCCTCGCTGCTAATATTTTTTGTCTCTCTTCCGTGATTTCGTCCCAGTATTCAGGGCGACCGGCGTAATCTTCAAAAAAGAATATTGTAAATGATTAAGATTATTCAATTTCTTCAAGAAATTGAAAAGAAATAATTCGTACCAAATAGACACTCTGTTATTGATACAGCTAAATTAGAAATCGAAACCAAAATCACCAAGAGAATATAGCTTGCCAATAAATCGTAGTCTTTGTTATTTTCGGTAATATTTAGTTGTCGTACTAGAGCCTGGATAAGATCGATCTTTTACATCGCAAAAGATATCCAGCCACGATACGATGAGAAACGTGATATTGCAGATGTAAACAACAAAGTAAAAGACCATATACCGGCGCGTTTTTAGTTGTTCTCTTTACCGCATCCTCTTTTACACATTTATCGACCACATGTCTTATTCGCTCAATTAGTATAGACTTGTGTTTTTTAACCGGGCTTTCGCCGAGACTACCAATCAAGAATTACATATTAATTACTGTCATTAATCGAGTGGTCAAAACTAGCAAAAAAGCACGAGTATATTAACTGTTTATGAAACTTTGCTGGAATAAAAGCAATATATGGAACCAACTTGTCTCGTTCTCTAAGATCAATTGCTACATTAGCAAGAACATGAACAAGATCCGGGTCTTTTCCCAATTCCTATTTTTTCAAAAAATTATTAATACGTTAATTCCAAGAAACATTCTGAAAGATTTAAGCAAATACCTCGCCAAAAAATATCAGTGCCACAAGTTCCGCAAGTATTTTCTGAATAAGACGAAACGGCCGCGGAAAAGGTTTTGGTTCTAAGATTATCAAAAAATTAAGATTATAGCTGAAAGGAAAAACTCAGAATTTTGACGAAGAAAAGATTAAATTAAATGACCTTTACAATTTCCGATGTAATTTTGTAATGAGGTTTTGATTTCTCGACTTATAACTGTGATAACATCTGGCATGAAAGGATTGAAATCTTGTTTGACAAGCTCTGCAATTTGGTCGAGATATTGTGGGATAGATTTCTCGAATACTTCACGAATATGAAGTTTCTGCGTGAAATGTAATTTTAAATTTTTTATTTAACTAAAGAATATAAACACTTTTAGAAATGTAAGAATTATACCCTATCAAATGCTTCTGCGCCAGTAACTTGATCCGTCGTAAAAATTTCATATGTTGCGGATTTTGCAACAATCGTTGTAATCTGGCCAAATACGTAGATTGAAAAGATGTCTCCACACTTTTTAATTATTTATTTGAAAAAAAAGTCAAACCTTTATTGTGATTTATTGATTTTATATAAAATATAATGAAATAATAACCTCATTATGACACCTGTCCAGAAAATTTTCTGTATCATACAAAAAATCAAGTGTATGCCCGATTAATGGTATCTTATAGGAGACTAGCGGTGGCTCATTCTTTAAAAAAAAATAATTTTAAATCATCAGCTTGTTCTAAATAATAATCGCAAATTGTTCAAAATACTTGCTAATCTCCTTCGTCGTTCTTGAAAAACTTTTATTAGGATTGTAAAAATAAATAGGATAGCTGCATATTGAATATTTGACAAAAGGAAAAACTCCATGATAACGATATCGGTTTGTAATGATTTCTTTGAGCTATGGATTTTATAGTAATTGTAAAGATCTACATGATTGATCGATATGGGAAAATCGGTTCATGTAATAATGCCCTATACCGATATGCATTAAAGTACTGCTACGTACGCTCTCTAAATGCTTATAAGACCTTTAAATATGCATGCCCGCATCAAATATATCGGTATTGATAATAAAATAACGACTATAGTATAGTCTTTTAATACATACCGATACAGTGCGGACGTATATCTACGTAATCAATTGCTTGTTCTTTGGTGTTTAAGCAAAATTAAACAGAGTACGTACCGGTACGTATAATTATTAATTTATCTAATTCGATCTTTTAAAGAAATAATAGCGGTATTTAAAAAAATCGTGTGAATCTAATACAAAAAAACTTATTGAAGACATATATGGTAATCAATAAGTTAGATTTATTCGGGGGTGAACAAATTTTATTTTTGGTTA